TAGTATAGTATTTTAATATAGCTAGGGTAATATATAGATATTTTTAGTAATTTAGGCTACTAAGACTAAACCTAATAGAGATATAAACTCTATTAGGTTTTTAGTTAATCGGGTTTTTATAAGGACTAAAAACCCTATAGGGCTTTTTACTCGGATTATAAAAGGTCTACGAATTATCTAACCTAATTCGTTGCGTAGCCTACTTAAAAGAATAGCGAGAAGCGAAGCGAAAGTTAATTAAATTATATAATAAATAACTAGAATTAATTAAAGCCGATATATAATATTACTTATCTAAAAGTAATAAAACTATAAAAAGTTAGTTATTTATCGAGGACCGAAAAGCCTTCTATTCCTTCTTCGTCTTCTTTATATACTTCTATTAACGACTTCTAGTAGAAGCTATTCGTTTAATAATTCCTCGTCCTCGTTCGTAGTCTCTACTACTACCTTCCTCTCCGCCTTAAGTCGTACGACGAAAAGGAAAGGGTATTTAACGATAAAGTAACTTCGTTAGTCGTAGTAAAGATACGCTTCGAGCTTCTTTTTCTAGTTAAGTATCGTTTACGATACCTATAAAGCTCTCTATAGTTCTACCGAGGACGCTATAGCTTATATAGTCGACGTTTAATCTATTTTATCTTTTATATAACTTATAGTATCGAACGAGTTACTCCTAGATACCTTCTCTTTAGCTTTCTTCTATCGAAGAGCCTCTAGATTTATACTAATCGTATAGAGAAAAATATAGTACTCTCTATAGATTAATAGAATTAGTATTATAACGAGAGCGCTCTTTAGGTCGTACGAAAAGTAGTTTAATATAAATATCTTCTTTATCGAGTTAGCCTAGTCTAGTTCGTCGGCCTTAAGTAGTATATAATTAAACTCGGCGAGAAATACGCTAAAGGACTTTTCGTTCTACTTTAGTTAAGAAAGCTTTCGTAATACTCTTTCTACGATATCGACGTCTTCGTATACCGCCTTTAATTAACTAATAAGTTCTTTCGTATTTATTTCGAGGATTAATTATACGAAATTAACCTACGAGCTAACCTAGATAAAGATATAGCTTCTTAGTCTACTATAGAAATACTAAAATCGTACGACTTCGATTTTCTCTTACTTATTAACCGCTAACTTAGCTCGAACTTAAGTAAGCTACGACCGAAACTTTAATCTTTTTCTATTAAATTTAGCTAGCTCGGAAAGCTTAGCCTTTCGTCGTATAGAATCGAATTCCTATATAGCGCTCGCCGTCGTAGAAGTCGTTACTTTAGGCGTACGAGCCCGAACTCTATTCTATTAGTCGAGTTAATTCTCGAGTACTATTATTCTTTAATTTTAAGTCTATAAGAGCTAGTATAGCTCTACCGCCTACGCTAGAGCGGTTTCCGTTAATTACTAATCGTTATCTATTTCGTACGCGATACTCTTTCGCTACGTATAATAGTAAGCTTTAGAATAATATAAGAGTTTAGCTAGGAATTTAGAGTAATTCGTCTAACTATCGTATAACGAGGATTCTAAAGCTAAGGAGAGAAAAGAAAAGAGAAAATCTATCTACTATACGAATAAAGGAAATACTTCCTATCCTCTTCTATAGTAGATTAGTATAGTTTTCTAGGAGATAATCGATAGGAAAGAGTTACGTAGCTTCGGCTATATAGTTATATAGCCTAAAGGTATACTACGAGTAATCGTTTTAGAGTATACTCTAGAGCTTTATACGAATTTAACTCGTAATAAATAGATAGCCGATAGAATTAAATAGAGGAAAGGTTTTAAGAGGTTTAGAAAATAGTAGAATAAAAAGCGACCGAGAATAATACTAGCTATCTACCTATTATAAATAGAAAATCGTTATTATCTAATATTTTAGTATAATCTCGAAATATATAAGTATAGTCTAAATATCTAGCTTAAAATTATAATAAATATAAAATATACGAAAATTAATATTATAGCTAAATTACTTATAGTAGAATTAAAAGAAAAGTTCCTACTTATCGCTATCGCTATAGATTCGATACTACTATCTATATATCTAGTCGATAATTATAGAAGAACTTAAGTTTAGAAGATATTATTTAAGAAGATATATAATATATAGATAGAGCTATATAATAACTTCTTAATTAAATATAAGCCTAGAGAGTTCTTTATAAAATCGACTAGTTATCTATATTATTTATCTAGAGATAATAGTTTAATTTAGGATTTAGAAAATTTTAAGCTATAGTAGAAATAGTTTCGTCTAGAAACTAGTCTATCTATATTCGAATTAAAAGAATACTATCGTTACTATAAAGAAAAGTATTTATTTAATACGAAATTTTAGCGCTATAAGAAAGAAGAATATATAAAAGCGAAGGATAGAAATAAAGCTATATATAAATAAATAGTAGAGACGATAAGGTAACTATTCGCCTAGTAAAACGATCGAGAATAAGTAGAATAGTAAAAGTATAGTTATTATTATATCGAAGCGCTATTATATTCGAAGCTCTTCTATTAGTAAAGATATAGCTAACGATAGATAGTTCTAATAGATAGATAATACTAGTTAGATATTTATAAAAGCTAATATAGTAAGTAAGACTCTTTTTTCCTTTAATTTTCGTCTTTACTATAATAGAAGCTAGTATTAGGTACGACTAGAAATAATAAAACCTAGAGAATACGATATATCTAGATATAGCTAGAAATAATAAAGTACGACCTATATAGGTATAACTAGAAATAAAAAATTCTAGAGAAAGTACGACGTATCTAGGTACGACTAGAAATAATAAAACCTAGAGAAAGTACGACGTATCTAGGTATAGCTAGAAATAATAAAATCTAGAGAGAATACGACGTATCTAGGTACGACTAGAAATAATAAAGTCTAGGTATAGCTAGAGATAATAAAGTCTAGGTACGACTAGAGATAATAAAACCTAGAGAGAGTACGACGTATCTAGATATAGCTAGAGATAATAAAACTTAGAGAAATATAGTACGTATAGGTATACTAGCTATTAAACGAATTAGGAATTACGTACTTAAAACGATGGAATAGAAGGGCGATAGAGGGTTTACTATATAGACTATAGGAGTATAGGGAAAATATCGATTATATATAGGAGTATAGGAAAAATATCGATTATAGTATACTTATAGGGTAGAAAATAGTTACTATAAGAGCTTAGTTATAATATATAAGCGTAGGGAAAACTATCCTTACTATACGGTAGCCCTAGGCTCCCTAGGCTCCTATAGTAAATTAAGTTACGCTAGGCTACGGGCTAAAACACCGATGTAGTCTATATAACTAAATACGTTATTTACTAGGAGATAATCGCGAGTTATAGTTAACTATTATAAGGCTTTTACGAGTATCGAGACGATTAGGTAGGATAGGGAGGGGATAGAGGCATTAGAGGCGACGATAAGGTCTATTACGCGTATAAGCACTAAAAATAGTATATGGAATAGGTAGTTAAATAACGTCCTAATACTATTGGTATATTAATTTAATGTTAATAAGTCTATAGATATTAGCGCTAATAATTCTAGCGCATAATAACTCACCTAAAACGTGACGCGCTAAAAATATAGATACTAAACGTTGTGAGGCACTCCTGTGAGTCCTGTCATAGAATTACCATTACACCAGCATTTGGAATGCTTGGAAATCAATGAGTGATTTAAAATCATGAAAAAGGGGCTCCCGGAGATTAAATACCGCATAAATTTGTATATAAACAAGGACAGAGTCCATAGGATTGAAAGAGACAGAGAGATCTCATACATGCTCGAGTGCTTGCCAAAAGCAACGTATTCACCTTCGCTAACAGTAGAGTAGATGTACGATTACATCGAGTGGTTAGCACTCACGGAAAGTGGCACGTTACATGGTTGGCACATTACGTGGTGCCTAGACTTCCCGTACTCCAGAGACGCTAGACGCGGCAATTATAAAGCCTCCTAGAGAAACATTATTCCACATGAAATGAATGGCGAGCCGGGCCCTATACCAGCCCTTTGAAACACACATCTGTACATGGGAGGTCTAGCTCTTCAGGAATGCTTGAATGTGTGATTAGTTCGAGAGGGTCTACGGCTGGAGCATACTTCCTACCGCGTCTGTCCACCACTTCCAAAGCTACAAAGGGAGCTTTGATGAATAGAATCAGCATTTGACCAAAAGGCCGTAATCCAGCCCCGCGTCTCGAACGCCTTTCACAAACACTGCGCCAGGTTTTCATACTCTGTTACGTCGCAAACCAGGAAACTGAAAGATTCACCTAATTCATCGGAGAGTCTCTCTCTGCATGATAAGTCTGAACTTCGAGGTCAAAGGCCACGACTGTCCAACCATCTTGATCAGATGGCGTGTCAAACGCTCCCCGAAGCCCGACTGTTCATCCTGACGTCAGCTCGAAGATATCGAATTTTTCAATGTGCTTCGTCGATACGAAACTTACCGCGCCGCAGGTGACAATTGCAACCTTGTCCTTGCTCTACGCCATGCTATTCTCGGGTTTGGTGATAAGTTGGACGTAGTCAACTGCTACAATTTGCAGTTAGACGGGGAGTTGGTAGAAAGAGGCCTTCGCCAAGACAAGCATGGGATTTCTTGGAATCCAAGTATGCCATACATTACTCGTCATAGTCTGAGATTTGGTTGATTACTGGGCAGTTTTACAAGAAGCGGGGATGGGATCATTGAAAACTTGGGATTGGACGCGTGAGCCTATCTCTGTCTCTAGTTTTCGCCCTGGCTCTTCGCACCACGGTTCAAGAGATACAATCAGGTGTTCACTCAGTCGCAAATTGTCGTGGACTGTCAAATGCAGATATAAATTCCATCCTCTTGAGTCCTTACGGCCAGTAGAAATCCACTCTCGCCAGCATATTGTGCTACCGGTGCAGCATTACAAACCGCAAATGAGAAGCCGTTCTTGCGCAAAGGTCGGCAGCAATCGCTGTTGCCCAGGGCAACGAACATGGTCCTAATGTACAAGACCTTCGGCCTGGAGCTGGTTGACGTACTTCCAGTAATGAGGAGTGCTAGCCTTCCGAAGTCTCTTGCCGTATTTGATGAGGGTGAAGAAGAGGGAAATCTGCGCCATTGCAACGAATGCCGCCATGATAAAGGCATTCTGATAGCCCATTGTTTCCGTCCAAGGGGTCACCCTGTCGCGCTGTTAACCTTTCCGACCTTTTGATATTGTCATGAAGAGCGAGGCAACTTACCCGTAGCTGACGGCAAAGCTCATGGTGTTGCGGATCAGAATCACCGTGACGATGGCATCCCCGCTCATATTCTTGTAGGAGTCGATACAGTAGCTGATGGGCAACTGGCAGCCTATGGTGATGGCAGCGGCCAACATCCCCATCGCGAAGACAAGGCCGAACCAGTGGATTTGATGTGCCGCACCGAGGCCCCAAACCAAAAAGCCCCCGGAGATGAGGATGTACAGGCTAGTGTAGAGCCATAGTCGGTGCTCTGGCTCCATAATGCCATTGTTTCTTCTTGCCTTCCACAGAACGAACCTATCGCCCAATGGGCCTGAGAAAAAAGCCCTGAGAATTTCGTTAGCCCCAAGCTGCCGGTGCAAACGAAAATCGGAAAGACAGCTGACAAGGGCTTACCCAATGAAGACCCCAATGAGACATGAAACGTAGGAGAGGCCCACCTTGCTCGCCGAAAAGTTGTATGGCGGGCTCGACAGAATCACCGACGCCGTGCCGTTGAGAATGTTGAAGTAACAAACAATGGCGCCGTACATGAAACCAGAAAAGGATATGACAGGGAATGAAAAGAAGATCAACGGACGCAGGATCATGCCTCTGAAGTTGGCCTTCCGTTGGAAAGAATCGGCTTGGAAGATCGCCAGCTTTTGCCAGTAAGACTTTTTGCGGGCTAGGGGGTCCAACCCAGGTGCAGCTTCCATGTTCCTTTCAACACTGAAGTTCACCGTCTCCTCTGAAGGTGCTGGGCCATCGTGAGCCTTCTCAATGACAGAGATACTTTCATCCTCAATGTCAGCATCGGGTTCGATAGAAGTCATCGGGGCACGGTGGAAATTAGTCTCTTCCATGAGGAAGAACAGAATCAAGAAGCCTATGCCGTTGAAGATGGCACACCAGTGCTAAGAAGGACATCAGTACCCCTGATAGATCTTCCTCTGTTGAGAGCAGATGTGATCTACCAGAACCCATTTCCAGCCCTGGCCGTCGTTGATGAAGCCCGAGATGATAGGAGCAAAGAAATTGCTTCCAGCCAGAAATAGTGCGTAGAGACCAATGTAGGCTCCTCGCTCATGGGCAAAGAACTAATGTAGACATCGTCAGGGCGCCTTTCATCCAAGATGAGAACAAAGCACTGCACTTACAACGTCTGCGACTGAAATCTCGCACAGGGACTCAATGACGCATCCAAAAAATCCTTGGAGGCACTTGTTGGCAATCCATTGACCGGTCGAGAGGCAATAAGGTGCCCACAGCATTATTCCCTGTTGAGGGAAGCGAGTTAGTGGCTGGAAGCCCTCATGAACACGTCAAATTTGACTTGCCATTGTTCCTAGTGTGGACAGCAGATAGATCGGACGTTTTCCATACTGCATCGCCAGAGGCTGTACTACAAGGCATCCCCACCCAAGCACCAAGAACATATATCCAGTGCCTTCCACTAACGTGCTGATACTGAGTCCACTATCCGTCGAGATAGGCACCAGGACCGAGTATATCGCAGCTGTAGGAATGCCAACGACAAGGATATATCTGAGGTCCCAGCCTGTCAGGGGCGGCGTGGGGCGAGAGGGTACAGAGAGGAGACTCAGGTGCAGAGACAGAACACGAATAGTGTCTTTCGGCGTGGATGCCAGTTTAAGGGGTCGTCAGGATTCTTTGAAGGCGTGGGCACCAGCACAACATCCTTTCGCTTGCCCTTTGCGTGCGCCGTTTTGACCGTGCCCTGCAAATCCACGAGGTGGACTGTGCCAGGAATGAATTGCTGCGCCTCCAACGTCATTGTTTCCCACCGGCTTTAATGATTGCAGAATTCAGGGTAGGGGAGCCAGAGTATTAAGGTCGCCTCTCAATCAAAGAACAAGGGATGCGAACTATTGAAGGCAGTCTTCCGCATCGAAGGGGTGTTTGATCTTTAAATATGGTCGAAAGCCTGCATGGCAATTGACTCCACCAAATTGCTCATCTCAACGACTATCTACCACAACAGTCCAAAATGCGTTCTAATTCTGAGCCGAAGACACCAGGGCCAATCTAATTAGCGAATAAGGATGAATTGCGGGAGAGAGGGAGAATCCTAGCGAAGTGCTTCCATGTTTTGAACCTTGTTAATGATACTGGTGTGCTGATAGTCGAAGCTCTGCAATCTAGCACCTTCTTCAATTCTAGTCGTAAGACGTGTGGCATTCATCCCAAGATATAACGCTACGACGATGTCAGTATCAATAGCCAGTTTAAACGGGGAAATATTTCCTAGTCGTGTTGGCTTTGGACACAATCCAATGAAAGGGAATTGCGAGTGCAAGAGCCCACTACGTTGGGGGGACATTCAACAGCCAATCATATGTATTTGCGAGACTAGCGCCCGTCGAGAGAGATAGGCTGAGGGTTCGGGGTTCCCCTGCTCCTATTACAGTAGCATATCGGTCCGAGCTTATCCCCTCGGGTTGGCTCCAAAGGGCAATTGTTCGACCGACGACGACGACGACACTCCAAACTCATTGCTTCGACAAGAGTCTCGACCTCTATCCAACCACTATATCCGCGCTATATGGCTCCGCATGGCTGGGGGGATATCCAGGCACTTGGACGGCGTTCGACAGACACCCATTATCAACCATCGTCCATGCTCGCTATTTCGACTCATTGGCCCACTGAATCTCTCATGCTGGGGCCACTCATCGAGGTTGAAAGCCTTCTTTGCTTTCGGCCTCCATTTGTTGTCGCATATTGGTAACATTCAAATTTGACTCCCTACCCTCCGTTCCTCATATCCCCCTCCTTATTCTTCTACAACAAACCCTGTGAAGACAGAATGGTCACAGAGCTCTGGCAAGTCAAGGCTGAAAAATGCCGGAAAATCCTCAAGGACTCATTGAATCCCGCCTGGCTCCTTCCTGAGGATGAGTTGCCTCCTGCGGACCAGCTTGACGTCTCTGACTTCGTGGAAACATGCAAATTGTTGACTCCAAAAGAATTGGGTATCACCAAGCTCAATGCAACTGACCTAGTCACCCGTATGGCCTCCGGCACCCTGACTGCTATGGAGACGGCCACCGCCTTTTTGAAACGCGCACATCTCGGCCATCAGCTAGTCAACTTCGCCACTGAATTCCTGGTCGACGAGGCGCTAGCACGCGCATCTGATCTGGATGCTCAGTTCAAAGCAACGGGAAAACTAGTGGGGCCACTCCATGGTGTTCCGATCTCCGTGAAGGAACACATTGGTCTCAAAGGTCGCATCTGTCACTCCGCCTACATTGCCTGGACCGACAATATTCCCAAGGAGGACGCACTGCTGATCAGGTGCCTCAAAGCTGCTGGAGCTGTCATCCACGTCAGGACGAATGAGCCGCAGAGCTTGATGGTACATCACGCGACTCAATTCTATTGATGACCGAACTGACTAACTTATTATAGCATGCGGATACGAACAATATGATCTACGGGTCCACATGCAACCCCTACAACCGCAAGTTGACGTCTGGGGGCTCTAGTGGAGGAGAAGGTGCCTCTATTGGGTTCCGCTGCGCCGCCATTGGAATCGGCACCGACATTGGGGGTTCTGTTCGCATCCCCGCGGCCTTCTGTGGAGCCTTTGGACTTCGCACAACGGCTCTCAGGAACCCTTACAAAGGGGTGCTGTTGGCGGGAGAAGGACAAGAAAGTATTCGCTGCGTCATTTCACCCTTGGCTAATAGTGCCGCCGACCTGAATCTGGTCCAGAAAGCCATTCTTGACCAAGAGCCGTGGGATGAAGAAACCTCTTTGTGTCCTCTTCCGTGGAAAAAAATCGAACCCTACACGCCTGGACAGATCACTGTCGGACTAATGTGGGATGATGGGTACGTCAGAAGTCTTCCTCAGTAGCAGAGATGAGAGAACACAATTTTCCCCATAGGTTCAGACTGTATCTAATAGGACCTACACAGGATGGTGCACCCACACCCTCCCATCAGCCGTGGCCTGAAGTACGCAAAATCCAAACTCGAAGCCGCTGGGGTCAAAGTTGTCGAATTTGAGGCCTTTGAGCATGCGCGCGGGTGGGATATCCTCACGCAACTCTACTTTCCCGATGCTGCAAAGACTCAGAAAGACCTTCTTGCCGAGGCAGCCGAACCTATACTCCCACTGACTGAGTGGGCTTTTAGTGTGGCTAAGCCAGAGCCCATCAGCGTGACTGAAAACTGGGACCTCAACGCCCGTCGAGAGGCATATCGTGAAGAGTGGGTATTCTGTCCTCTTCCTTGACCCTTGAGGTTGTGTTTGGCTTGACACTAAGATTTTAGTTATCATCGCATCATGAAAGAACGTGGGATAGACTTCATTCTTTGCCCAGCTGCCACAGGTGTTGCCGCTGAGTTGAACGTCGGCAAATATTGGCCATATACTGCAATCTGGAACATTCTGGATCAGCCTGCAGTTGCATTCCCCACGGGACTGAAAGCAGATCCCAGCATTGACCTGGTCGAGACCGAATACAAGCCTCGGCCAGGACATGATGAACGCGAATTCAAGAGATGTGAGTCAAGCCATCTCTGCCGGCCTTATCCCAGAGCCTCGTTATATTAACTAAGTGTTTCACAGATACACCTGGGCTATATGTGAACGCCCCGATCGCCCTGCAGGTCGTTGGCAAACACTTCCGAGATGAAGAAGTGGTTGCTGCAGCAGAGCTCATTTCGGAGATAGTTCAGGGCTAGTTATATCTGATCTGGAGCTGCTTTTCAGTGACCATTTGGTATTTAGTCAATTCTCATGACGAACGTATCATGGTGGGCAGAATATATGGTTATTATTCCTCATGTAGAAAACGCACAGACCTCCATTCTCTCTATACCTGGGATGATCAACTCTGGTCCCAATTCTTAGATGTTGTTGGAGCCGTTGTACATTTCCCTGAGTGTGGTTTCGCATATCGCCGCCTACGCATGCTATTCAAAGTAACCCTTTGTCCTTCTATTAGGGTTTACAAGGTGCTCGTACATTAGGCTAAGATGGCCTCCCCGGCCCACACTGGCTGGCACCAACTGTGGATCGCAAGCTCCTAAGGCGCACGGGACGGTGCCGGCTGATAACATCTAGACCCTGTCGTTCCCCGCAGATAAAGGTAGCTCAGGCACGCGCCCCCGGGCTGACAAACTTCACAAGGACCTCGTTATGCTAATGCACAGAGCACCTAAATTCTGAGACGTCTTTGGTAACGCAGAATGTCGTACCAAGCAAGCATGCGGAAAGCAAAGCTGAGGACGAAAAGCGGCTGTTTGACCTGTAGGTACACCCATTGGCGCGAGATGCTACCTCGACTAAAACAAGTTATTGTCCAGGTCGAAAAAGAAAGTTGAAATGTGATGAGATGAGACCGTGCTGTTACAACTGTACCTTTTCAACCCGGCATTGCGTGTGGCCGACGTCCTCGGATATGTACGACCGTCGGAATCGACCACAAGGTAAAGCCAGATCCATCAGCTCGGGCACCGATGACATCCAGAGCTCCGGCGATAGTCACTCACAGGGGGATTGCACTTCGCCCTCTACCAGTCTGATCAGAACATCGCCCCTGCATCGAATTTCCATCTCCTCTGATTGTGAAAACTCGCTGCTTAATTACTACCTTGACTCCTTCCTCTCAATGATTCTTTTGCCAACCACTCAGCCCAGCGACTATGCTGACTTTCGTTCGTACACCCTGATTCTTGCGCTTGAATGTCAAAGTGTCAAAGACGCGGTGATGAGTAGCAGCGCCGCGAACAAGTACATGCTGACGGGAGATGACTACTTTCGGCGACTCTCGCTTGAGTACTACACCCGGGCGGTGAGAGAGGTCAATCATTCGCTGGCAAATCTCGACTGCTCTCGCGAGAGCTGGGCAGATCCGCTGATTCTCAGTGTTGCTTACTTGTACATACGCTCGGTAGGTTGACCACAAGATTGCTCCTGAGCTTTGACGTTGATACCAGAGCTGACGGCACTCGTTTCCTAGTTCTGGGGCCCAGACGCTGATAAAGACGCCCCCAAACATGTTGCCGGGATGCAGCAATTATTCAAGCTTCGGTATGCTGGTGGCCCCTCACCTGTGAGCGCAGACCGATCATTTGATCGTATCATGGCTGAAAGCGCACTGTACCATTCATTTCTTCTCGTCATGCGAAGCCCATTTGCGTTGAATTTCCATATTGACAGGACCTTTTTATCGAGAACTCTGGATCTGCTTGAGCACCATGTGTATGTTGAGCCTACGGAGGCCGCGAAGAGTCCCGTTCTGGGTGCCCCGCCATCGATATATCGTCTAATCCTGGACATTGTTTACATGTTCAACTCTCCCTCTCGCGCTGATGCCAAGGATTATCGGAAACTTCGATGCTCTATGGACTATTGGGAGCATGTTCTCGATAGCGACGCATCGATCTTTCGAGATACCGAATATGGAGACGCCATTGAGCTGTATATCCTTGCAGCCTCCCTTCTTCTCGATTGGATGACCGAACTTCCCCACGACAGTGGACCCATTACCTTGATTACTTTGTCGATGCTGGGTGGCTCGACCACCATCCACTCGGACGGAGAACTAAGGCCCAGATGGCAGGTTGCTCGCGCGCTCTCCGTCCTTCGGCGCCCGGACACAAAATGCTACTGGACGTGGTGCTACCTCAGCTCTTGGCCACTCCTGGTATTCGGATACGCGGTCGAGGATGCCGACGATATGGACCTTGTCCAAGAGGTGCTGCACGAATCACGTCATTGCATCGGATATGCTGAGATGGAGCGAATCAAGGGCGAGTTGGAGGAGGTTTGGCAGATTCGGCAACAGAAAACCAATGAACGAGTGTGCCTCCCCTTCGCAGTACCAACTCATTCTCGTCAGAGGTTGATTGAGCTTCCGACTTTGTGATGATTCATTGGGATGGAGATTGGCCACCGAAAAGGGGCCATGGGAAGGCTTTGGTAGTGGTGCAACACTCCCGCCACATGCCGATACTCCTATAAACTGCGTGTGCAGAATGAGAGTTTTCGTCTGCTACGTATCCCTGCACGATCACTTTCGGCTTCAATCTCTGACTAGGATTGGTAGAGCGTTGCCTCCGAGGTTGGCGGGGCTGAAGGGCCTCAAAAAGGGAGTACAGCTGTACAAAGGCGATACTACGGTCTTCAAAATACAGTACCTTCCATCAACCACCTCTCAGTCTGGTATATGGTTACACTTTCCAAATGGCCCTCAATGGTGAATGTTGCTCGCGCGAGCCTTCTTCCCGTGGGATGGCTTGCCGCTTATTCTTAATTCCCCACTTGGGTCATGACTGCAGGACAAGCACTGAGCCACCACAGTGGAAGCGATATTCGCCGCGGCAGCGACTGCTAAGGAGATCGTGATGGAAATTTCTCGATGGGCATTTCCCATTGATACGACCCTCACAAGCACATCTGCCGAATATTCCTCAAGCACTGTACCAGAGAATAGATTGTGCTTTTGTGTTTGGGCCGACAAGGCATATGAGTCATTCCAAGTTCTCTATGAAGAACGGAATCCACTTAGTCTATTCCTAAGGTTTTTTAGCGGGTTCGAAAGCCTAGAAATTATGTACAGGGCGACAAATATACGTGCCGCAAGTTAAGTCTCCGCAACAATTCAAACTCCGGATGCGCGCTAATGGAAACCTATTTATCTAACTAAGCTTCTCTACTACCTGAGCTTCTCTACTAACTGAGCTTCTCTACTACCTGAGCTTCTCTACTACCTGAGCTTCTCTACTACCTGAGCTTCTCTACTACCTTGGAATCCTATTTTTATGGCCAATCACCCTGAGGCTAACCGTGAGGCATACTGGGGAGTATTAGAAGAAGGACCGGGCCACCCCTTAGGTCGATATATGGGCGAAAAGCGATGGGATTAAATCCACCGATTTTGGTCATTTAATGACTCACCCACTACGCAAAATGACTCCTAGTTTACTCCTATTGAACCTATTGCCTCTATTATCCGTGCCAACTGCCAGGACGCAATAAAAGCGTCACTTTAGGTCGCCGTTGATGAGGCAATGATCCTTTTTACAGGGCGTACGAAACACGGTTCAACTACTATTAAAACCCATTCCAGAGTGCTATAGAGTTTGAATATTAGGGGTTAAAGACGGCTATATTTGGTCCTGGCGTTGGCACTCTAAGGCTGACGGTCCTGAGTTTGGGAAGACTTCTCGATTTTTTAGCTAACCAGACGGAATGCCTCCTATTTAACTAGCGCCTACTTATCAAGTGGTTCAAGCCTTATGCCAGGAACTCCAGGACAAGGATCCTAGTACTAAACACTTAGTATTCCTTGATAACTTGTTCCTTACTACAGCCCTTGCCCATACCTTATTATAAATCGGCGTTGGAGTAATGGGCACCACTCGCAAAAATCACAAGGGCTTCCCACGGCGATTCATAAACGTTAAACAGTTAGATGTCCAATTCACCTACGGATCTTGCTCCACGGGAGCTATTCGGGGCATATACATGAGCCCTATACACGCCAAGAGCTATACATGCTAAGCATGCTCTTTAATGCCAAGAGGGCCTTTTTTTGGTGTGATTTCGGCTATATTGCCATCTGTAACCATTAGTAAATACTAAATTGATTGCCACACACAAACCTCGCTGCCTTCACTTGTATAGACCTTTTTTTGGGTGTTTTGACAGTTCCTCCTATTGCTGAAATAGCTCACAACCCCGGATTTATGCCCTGGACTACGCTAGCTGGGTGCGTTGAGCATCATCGAGGGATCCTTGAGCGCTATGTCAATGCTAAACCTTCTTCCTGGCGCCAGGATCCTATTATTAGCGAGGCTTTTACTAGTAAAACTCAGTCGCTTGAGAGACTCTAACTCTTTACACTTGTGACTAGGTTTAACGTCGTTAATCGCGGCGGCGGCAACGCTAGGAGCCCTGCGACTAAGGTTCTATGTATTAGGAATTGTTAAGACTAAGCGATACCCTATTAACGCCTAGTCACGTGATTAGGCTTATATAAGCTAGGATCACGTAGTATTCATTAGGCAAGGCTATACTTAAGCCTTACGGAAGATTCTATAAAACGCTATTCTATTCTATAGGATTAGAAATTACTTAACTTGATTTCTAAGTATCCTAGGAGTTAACTCGTATTTACGAATACTCGGTAATTACTCTCGCACTTATGAGATATTATAACGGAGCCTACGCCTATATAAAACAGGCCTAT